GTAAGATATTGAGCTGAGCGCTCCAAATGGAAGAAAATAAATCCACTTCAATCGACGAAAATAGTTTGACAAGAATTGATGGTTTTTTCCTTCTAAATGAAAGTCTTTTAGCCTCGGTGACACTATAGTTGAATTCACAAGAATAAAGGAAGTGGAAAGCGACATCGATCGACTGTCTACTCTTAGGAACATTTTTAAACATAAAGTTAAAACTTCGTTTATGCCTGTCTTCGGTCATACTAGCGACCAGGTCAATGAGAGGCATGAGCTTCTCACATTGCTGAAACGTAAGTGTTGGCAACTTCCCTTTAAGAAGGGCACCAAGAACGGAAAATACTGATCCGTCACGAGACATAAAGTTCTTTAAATTATCGAACGCTGCTAGATCTATTTTTTCAGATTGACAATGGGTCTCAAATAGAAGCTTGGATTTTAGTTTCCTTCAGATTTGGAAGAAAGGTTGCCTGAGGTCTCATGTCGTAAAAAGAAGACAAGACATTAGTCCAAGTTTATGGCGAGGATAGCTGTAGAAACTTCAAGGATATAAGGATGGGGATGGGTATGATTTAACAATTCCTGCAAGCTGTTAGTATTAGTAGACCAGACAGAACAATTTTTACTAAGCAGTTTTTACTCAATAACAGAATGTATAATTGAAAAAAGGGGTAAATCACAATTCCGAAGATAAGAAAATAAGACTGTGAATAAAATTCGTGTTCAATAATGAGGCCATGCAGGATGAAATAAGAAACAGTATAGTTCCCTCACCAGTTAATAAATCAACAATAAAAGCGATCAATGGAAAAGATTTATCGTTAAATAAACGATATTTTTCGAAATTTTACAAGGAAAACCTTTCATATACGCGTTTAAAATTTAAGGAGCTTGAGGCTATTTCGGGCGAAAAATTACATTTTATTTCCGCTTTATGGTAAACCGACAAAACACGACGGGAAGCTTAGATGACATATGTACAGAAATCCGAAATTTTTTCCAGATTTATACTGAAAAACTGCGCAAAAGGTTAAGAAATCGAATTAAAAAATAAAAATTTCACTAATCTTTTCAAAATCGTGCTGCGCACATCGACCTTGATGACCTTTCTGGCGATTTACAGACCACCAAATCTTCTGAGTGCAGCTGATGAGTCGCTCCTTGGTTTAGTCAAAGACGTAGCTAGCCACCAAGAGGTACTTATTGCTGGGGATTTCAACGCACCTGCAATAGAGTGGGAAACTATGGCAGTTAATGGTAAACCAGCCTCTTTCAGCAATAAGCTACTGGACCTCACACTCGATCTCCCTCTGGCGCAACATGTGAAGGTACCAACAAGATTTCGAGAGAACCAGAGAGCAAATTGTCTAGACCTAGTTTTCACTAAGGACTTCTCTAATATCGACGAAGTGTATTCCAATGCACCTCTCGGGAAAAGTGACCATACCACGCTATTATGGGATTACTCGCTCTTCTCTAAACGCCAGAAGAGAACAGAGGGCCAACCTAATATATGGAAGGCAGATTTTAATATGATGAAGAACGAATTGCTGTCCGTGAATTGGGACCAAATATTCAGGGGAGATCCGGAGGACGACTGGAGATCTTTTAAAACGATTTCACTCGATCTGATTAGGCGCTGTTGTCCACCTAAAGTACAAAAAACAACTAGTCGACCTGCTTGGTTAACTAGGGACCTAAATAGGCAGCTACGGAAGAAAAGCAAAATATGGAAAATATTCAGGGAAACTGCGTCACCAGCGCATTTCGAAGAATTTCGTCGTCAACGAAACGCCGTCAAAAAATGTATCCGTCAGGCACGGAAGGAGTATGAATCCAAAATTATACGACAGGCTGAACAGAAGCCTAAGATTTTATTTCACTATCTGAACAGTAGACTGAAAAATAAGGACCCGGTCGCGGTGCTGAAGGATGATAATGGTGTAGAGATCATTGAGAACAACGAGAAAGCCGAACACTTAGGACAGTATTTTGCCTCCGTTTTTACTAGAGAAACAGAGTTTCGCTGTCGCAGTGCCGGCAATGCTCTTGAGACTGTTGGTCCCGTGCTTGACTCCATACTCTTCCCGGCAGCTGCCGTGGAAAGGGAGCTGAAAAATCTCAAAGAAGCAAAGTCCTCGGGTCCGGACAATATACCGGCCAAATTCTTGAAGGAACTGGCGAATGAACTTTCCAAACCACTGGCGCACATCTTCCGCTCGTCATTCGAATTAGGGAGGTTGCCATCGGAATGGAAGACAGCAAATATCTTTCCGATATACAAGGGCGGGGCTCGCACTAATGCTAACAATTACCGGCCTGTTAGTCTAACCTGCATCTGCTGTAAAATAATGGAGGCCATAGTTAAGAAAGCAACTATGGAGTTCCTGGAGCAGGGACATTTAATCTCAGACCTGCAGCACGGCTTTAGACAGAACCGCTCGTGTCTTTCCAGTTTATTGCTCTCGACGGAGCAGTGGACTCGCGCACTGGATGAGGATGGGAGGGTTGATGTCATATACACAGACTTTAAGAAGGCGTTCGACAGCGTCCCACACAAACGCCTAATCTACAAACTTTCTGAAATTGGGATAAGAGGAAGGCTGCTGACATGGATAACAGATTTTCTTACCGGGAGATCGCAAACCGTGTGCATTGAGGCCTTAAGGTCAACTCCTACTCCGTTCTAAGTAGTGCACCCCAGGGCTCCGTCTTAGGGCCGTTGCTATTCCTGGTTTACATTAACGACTGCGTCGACGACCTGGGATGCAGCGCCATCATGTTTGCTGACGATGTTAAGCTGTGGAGACCCATCAGATCTGATGCAGACAGGTACGCGCTTCAAGACAGTCTCAACCGCCTAAACAGTTGGTCAGCTCGCTGGCTCCTCAATTTTAATGTGGACAAATGTGTGGTCCTGAGACTCCGCACCAGACAGACCAGTAAGGAGGACGATTCCTTTCAATATGTCCTTGGTGGTCAGTCCCTTTCAAATGTTGTGGAACAGAAAGACCTGGGAGTCCTAATGACCTCCTCGCTGAAACCATCTTCACAGTGTCAAAGGGCAGCCAAAAGTGCGCTAAGGGTGTTATTTGCGCTGAGGCGAGGATTTGTGCAGATCGACAAGGAGCTGTTCGGAAAAACCTGTGGGGCATTCGTCCGGTCTCACTTAGAGTATGCAGTCCAGGCCTGGCGACCGTGGTTAAAGAAAGATTATCAAAGACTGGAAAGAGTACAGGCGATGGCTACGAAGATGGTCAAGAATCTTCATCATTTGCCTTACGAAACCAGGCTGACTGAACTAAATCTGTTTCCTCTAAATTACAGGCAACTGCGCGGCGATCTCATTCAAACCTACAGGATTGTCAGAAGCCGAGAATGTGCCCTAGATTTTGATGAATTCTTTGAATTGGCCCGGACTGACCGTCTGCGTGGTCATCCGTTCAAACTGCAAAGGAAGCGGGCTCATTCGGAGGTCCGACGGAACGCCTTCTCACACAGGGTCATCGGGGCATGGAATGGACTCCCTGATGCCGTCGTTCTTTCCGAAAGTGTTAAATCCTTTAAGTGCACACTAGACGCTCACTTGTTGAGAACCTACTGTACATACAATCATGATTGTTTTAGCGGCGGCAGTTTGCGCCTGGCTCACACTTGCCGCTAACTTCTTAACTTTTCGCATTTGCTGATGTAATTCAGTTTATTTTCAGTTTATTTGGTAAGGATAATAGGCAAAGCCTTTGAAAACCCTATTGATTACATGTCAGCTCGTTAGAATAACTGTACACGAACAAAAAATATTCACTATTAAAACAGTACTTGGTTCATTTGAGTAGCATTGTCTCAGAGAAAATATTTGTCTGGACCAGGGGTATTAGTTCAGATTCAGACCGTCGAGGGAAAACAGGGGACTTTATTTCTGTTTATCGACATGAATAGGGTGCTCAAGGGCGAAAGCCTCATTCCCTTAATAAACTGACTTAAACTGACTTAGATTTCGAGTGCACATATGAGTCCCTCGCCAGTGACAAAATAACATCACCAGCTCTTTTCTTTCTCCTGAACCCTCCAAACCATGAAAACCATCAACAAAATTTTTATTCCTTTCCCAGAGGAGTTTTTTTTCCTGATGGCCGGATTTGTGTTTAACGCTTCCCTGAAAATGCCTGTAAACTGGCATTAAATAATATTATTATTATAACGGACGACAGTCAAAGGTGTTAAAAGACAATCAACTGCCATGACCACAAGTCTATGGCTGATTGTGCAGGGCTCTGTATGCAGTCCCAGATCGATGCAACGACTAGCTGTTTATCTTCCAGGACCTAGGCTTTAATAAATTCTGGCTCGTCTGACGTCCTACACAGGCGATTATCTTGAAGGTAATAGAGTTAAACTCGCCACCCATTTTGAAGTCTGGGGCTGTCATTCATGCTACTTCGCCATCCCGCCTCAATGACAGCTTATTAAGGCGTATATATAGTGTGAGTATGAGTTCAATTTGGACAGCATGATCACAAGGGCAGCTTAGGCGCAGCTACGAACATTCCGCAGTCAATTCTAGACCTGCGTTACTGATAGTTGGTTATCAAGTATGTTCTATAACTGTTGTCTCTTCTGTTGCTGCTATTATCTCTGACGATGGACTTCCGCGCGAGTTCGGGAGCTCGACTAGTCTAGTTTCTCCTTAGTTAGTTCGCTGCTGAGTTTGATGGATCACTCGGGTCAGGCAGGAATGGCTTTATCGAACGTTGTATAGAGTTTCCGGTGTGATTTCTTAAAGGACACACAACCTACATTTCGTCTGAGCAGTGAACTCTGTTCCCTTATTATAATTCTTTTACAGAGTCTTGACAACGTTTACCTGTTGTCAAAGAGCCTTTTTTACAAACAAGAAAGCTTACGTCGGCAGCCCTTTCCGTCGTCTGCTCCGTTCTTTTAACCCCCTTTAATTCCGGCGTGAGGCTTGAACATTTGATAAGTTGTTCTCACGTTTTGCTTGAGTGATGGGTGATGAGTACGATGGTGTGGACGATTTTGCCTCTGACGATGAGCCATTTGAGGAAGTGATCGAAGAAGAAGGAGATACTAAGACTGGTAATATTTTAAGTGTGTTGAGTTGGTTTTTGAGGCGTAGATTACCGTCAAACTTCTAACCCACAATGACCTGTCCGTTATCTGTATGATTTTAACTTACCTGTCATACTTGTTATTTCACCTTAAATTTTTTGACAAAGAAAGCTTTGTTAGTTGCTGCGAGGTCGAGACTGTGTCGTTGCCTCATTGTGCATCATGGCCACTAAAACACCCCTAGTTGCTATTCAGTATCGAGGCGACAGCGCCTGGCTGTGAGAATGTTAATATAAGCATGTTACCTGGGCGCGGATTCTGTTCATTTTGTCGCTATCGGAGAGATACTGAAAAATCGCGATACGGCACTATACAGTAACAGCGCCAGATATAGCTGTCTTATCGAAATTTTCATTGAAGTATGCAGTTACTTACGAACGGTGTTTCCCCGCATCCTCTTCGCAAAAGTCTAGCGCTTCACAAACCACGTCCCCCAAGAAGAATATGACCCTAAGTTACTTCGATTTTTTGGTTTCTGTGCGTTTACTCTAAGGGGAGTAATACAGACCCATATTGAATTTGTTTTCGGTGTGTCTTAATCCAGTTGGGTCGGTGACAGGCATGATTGGCCTGAAGTTGGTGTTGAACGGAGAAATATATGAAGCAAATGTTGGGACCGGCTCCCATTCTAGTCCAAAATAGATTCCGGTCTATGACGCTGCTGCTTGAGTGCGTCCGGATATCTTTTGAAGTTTACTTTTTCTTTTAAAATTAGTGTTAGCCATTGCGTCGTCATCAAAGGGGGCATTAAACACTCATGACGAAGTCATCAGTATTTCGGCCACCGAAAGCCAAGAAGGCTCTCTGAAAATGTGTCGCTGAAAATTGTTAAACCATTTCGCTCTGCTGCGGTATTCCAAGCCCATAAACAGTTGCTTGACTTCAGTAAAGTCGTCCCTGATTCTAATCGGCCATCTCACCTAGCAGACGGCAATCTGACCGTGGAGTCCACTGAGCTGGACTGCTGTTCTTTTTTTATGGAGGCGTTCCTGCAACTTAAGGTTGCTCTAGATCAGCCAAGCTAGTTGTTTGCGCGTCATATCAATCGTCCTCTGCCGTATTCGCTGGTTATTAGCCAGTAGTCCACGAGGTAGAGCTGTCGACGGTCATGGAAGTGTAAGAATTCAGTGCATGAGATGCTGTATTACCTTCGTTCCAATATGCCCTTTGTGCAGACAGCGTGTCAGCAGACTCGCTTTTGGAGGCGGTCGACTCTTACGTTTCCTAAACAGTATGTAATACGACATGATACAACCTACCTAGATCTCCTATGGAATTGTCGTACTAACTACGATGGGGTCTCTCCGACTTTTTACGGCATGGAGTGATGAATTGACGTTGAGCAGGCCTTTTTCGTTTCAATGGAGCAGTGGGATCGAAATAACGTAAACATGGTTGACATGTACTCCGTTGTCCTGCAGTTTCTTCGGTCGTCACGTGGTTCATTAGAGTCTTGGATTTCAATAGTCGGTTCACACAAGTTAGAGTACCGAAACACTGGAAGCTTTGGCGTGTTGTATTCACTATTTCAAGCAGATACTATGAAGCTGCATTCCTTCGAATTAAAAAGTTGACCATCTACTTTTGGACACTTCACTGTAATTCGAATGACGATGGCCATATTTTCTTAACTGACAGGTCCGTAGTGAAGCGTCTAAGCTTCTAGAATGTCCGTGCTGGCTGAAATAGCCTTCAAACTCTTAAGATCTGTTAAATGCTCGTTGCTCTTATCAATGATGACTGTTTCTACCCAGTTCTACTTGTAAACATTTCCTTTCAACTCAATTTGGACTTTAGGAAAGGTGTCAAACAGCCAAATTTAGTGTTTTTAAGCCGCCATTGTGCAATTTTCCCTTAAAATATCCACATTATAGTTTGTGTGTCCATACGGTTGGTTATTCGTTTTTCGTTAACTAACTCGCGCATTAGTACTCGTCCACTCGGAGATGACAAAATGTCACTGACCGTATTAGTGTTTATTAACTGTTTCCTTTCGAGTCTCCACATAATTTTCTAGACCACCATTTGGGCGAGCAAAATGACCTATCCTTCGCGCAACGCCTGGAGACTTTGACGGTCCGATTCTGCATTTAAGCCTCTCTTGCGTAACATTGCTTTTTAGAACCGGTTGCTATGAAAGGGCTCGCTACCGACACCCAGATTATAGAGACTCCGCCCCAAACAATGTACATAAGTGCAGAACCCACCCGAATCTACAGTCTGTCTGTAGCTGCATCAATGCAAATTTCTCAGGGATTTCTACTGGCTACCACAACGAGTATACCGGTTTTGTCAGTGCCTGTTAAATAGAGCGTCTGTATACTACTAAGACTCCTAAGTATCCGGATTGCCCTCCATGCAAGCCTTTAACTTTTGGAGAGGTTCAAGTGCTAATTGTTCACTTCCTGGTTTTTGTCAATTATTGACTTTACTGTTACCGTCAGTATACCAGGCGCCAACACAACATATGGCTTCCCTATCTGAATGTTGTCGTTTTTTCGGAATAACAACCCATAAATACTCCAAATCGTCTGCTCCTTTCGGTTCACGTTAAGCATGAGATACGTCGGGTTGCCCCGAAAACGGACCACGTGGTTAGTGCGCTGTACCGACACGGGGTCTAGGTCGGGTCCGATAGGCGTTATTGGGAGTGCGCACCAATAGAAAAATGCCAACATTAAGGATGTGACGGCACATTCAGACGCATGCCCAGTTGGGATCCGAGCCGTCCCCTTTTTTTCTTGTGTAAAATCCTCGTTAGTGTACGTTGTAGGTCGGGATGTGGTGGTGGTGCGCCTAGGTGTGGATTTTGGCCATGTCAGCCACCTACGACCTCTCCTGCACCCGGTCTTGTTGACTTCGTTATGACACTGGACCCAGTTGGTGGAGAACAGAGTTCGGTGGATGCTGCGCAAATCTATCATCACCATAAACTAATTAATGAGCGAGTCGCTGTCCCTGCTTCCATCCTGTCATGGAGTGCATGATGGACGTCGTCGGAATTGACGATCGAACTGTCGATATGTCTGGTTACTTACACCGGCATTTTTATTCTGTCTGCATGAACAGCCAGCCCGACTGATTTAGCTACCTTGTCTTCTCGATAAATGACATTGTAGGGCTTCGTCACTGGACGCTACCCGCGTGATGTCGTCAGGGCAACTGGGGTTTGTTGGCCTGTTGGTACCAGTTCGGTGAAGGCCGATCTGTGCACAACTTTGCGTAATGCAGCCAATTATTGGATAGACTGGACGAGTAGATATACTCTTGTTATCGAATTGGAAATGTTTTGACAGTTGTCACAAAGCCCACAAACAACGAGGTCTGAGTTGCCCCAGCTGCCTTAGTCGGCTACTCTCTTCTGCCTGTGTCTCTCATAGGAATCCAAGGGTCGCGCGAAAACCATTGGGACGAAGTAATCTCGGCTGCTGATGACCGTAGTAACCCAACTTAGCTAATGTTAATTAGGAATCTAGTCTGGCTGTTTATTCTTTCCATCACATGCGGGCGCATCATGCGAAGCCTTTGACGATTGTCAACATAGCCATACCTGAAATCCGTTCTCGTCTTTATGAAGATAAGCGTCAAAGCAACTTTCTCCCACTTATTGAGTGAGATATGTGCTTTTTAGATTTTATTCTGAGACTAGAGCTTTCGCGTTGACACAAACTTCATAATTCGTCAGCTTTGTCATCGACGTCGTATCAGTGCCCTCTTTCAAAGAACGCCTGTTGTTGAAGACTGCCGAAACATTGCATAAAACTAGAGGGGGCAAATGTAGTGACTAGTTCGCCCCGTTTGCCTTGCAACTGGCGAAATGAAGCCGTTGTTAACTTAGCTGGCGGGTTAGCAACCAGAACTGAATCCTGTTTTCTGTACCGCGTCCCCAGATCTCTTACAATCCATCGGAACAGTACTACTGCTATTTTGTAGTTGCTGTAGGATTTATCGTTGCAGACATCTGAACAGGCAGCTGGATTTCTCTCTCGCCTACCGTATTTTATGGCTATCTGCTGCTTTTTCAGTCTTGACTGTCCAGAAAGACGGCATTCCCACGTTCCGAGCTTTATTGTAACAATCCCGCGTTCTAGAAGCACCCGGGTATGTCTTTTAGACATTTAGAGGCACACTCCAAGCGAAATGCAGGTGGACATTATCTGACGCGAACCCAGCGTAGCGCATAAATCTGCTGCTATATACCTACATGCGGAAGTTTATGATTGTAAAAATATCTTCAATTCCACTGATTGCAAATACATAATTAGATTACTGGATCGGCGTGCATCTGTGGAGATGGTTTTTTTTGAAGCTTAACCGCTTTTCATTGTTTTGACATTGAACACTAAGACCATTCTAGTCAACTGTATTGTTCGAGGAATTACCTGATCCCGTTCGAGGACTCCATAAGCAATGTTTTTGTTACGGCGAGGCTGTCTTTGATCACTGTAAAGATGCAGGCTTAAAATATCCGCATCGCGCTGATCGGCTATCGGTGTGGTCGCGCAAACAGTAGCACTAGAAACGAAATATTGCAGGAATGCCAACAGAGGTAAAGAGACTCGAATAGCCCGTTCCGAGCGTATCAACTGTCATCGTTCAGTCGTAGCTCAACCCCGCGTTTGAATAATCCGAGAGCAGAGCCCAAACCCTTAGGGGGTCACTGAGCATTAAGCCCATGTTAGCCAAGCCTGTCAACCGGTCGCACCCTAGCTCCTGTAAAAACATCTTGCGGTTCAGTCGTCGTAGTTGGTGGGTTGGAGTGCGACGTCTGTCAGAAGACTCGGGCAGATCGGTATCCCGGCGAATACGCAATCAGAACTGCTATCTGTTTGCCGGCGATAGGTTTTTGTGGACCCCATCACCTCACCAAGTGTCTTACGCCATTTTTTATGGATCAACACACGGTAGCTACAGAAGGCGTTGATTCTCCTGGACGCCTCATCCTGGGTTCTAAGTGTAATTACTGGCAGCTCCTGGGGTGGCAGCTTGAGCGCCTTGAATGCGGGCGGCCTCTGGCGACCGACCGGGAATCTTGCATCAGCCTGGAGGTGCCTTCCTCGGCGGGCATGGCTGTCCTGTTTTACACCACGCCTAACGCTTGCCGAAAAATCCACTCCCTGGTTGTAAAGCGGTAGTGTTCTCGTTTGCGGTCGAAACTATAACCCAGTGTAATGAGCCCGCCTGGTTGGTTCTTCTTGCACTATCCACCACTAGCTAATTCCACGTGCATTGCATCCTGATTCACATAATGTGTTGTGCGGTCACGTGACCCGTGTCGTGATGTTTGGCAAGTTCAATATGAATATTTCGCTAGGCACCCTCAAGCCCCAACCTCAAAGCACGTAGTAATTAGAAATTTACGCCTGTCACCCCGCGGCATTACTCTGCGTCCTCCCTTCCCACTTTTTTTCAGATAACGTGACGTACATCACATCTGGCGAACCTGCACGACTTCAACCGGGCGTTTCCATGCCCGCGGGGCCGGTCGAGAAGAGCAAGCGGATTACAACACCCTATTTGACCAAGTATGAGCGCGCCCGGGTTTTGGGCGCTAGAGCCCTTCAACTGTCCATGTCAGCTCCCGTAATGGTGGAGCTTAGTGGTGAGCGGGACCCGCTAAAGATTGCGGAGAAAGAACTGCGTGCCAATAAGATCCCTATAATTATTCGCCGTTACCTACCTGACGGAAGCTTCGAAGATTGGAACCTGGACGAATTAATTCTGGTTGAGTAAGCCTAGCAACCTACACCGTCCCCCCTGAGCTCCTTGCAAATAAATCATTTTTGTAATTCCTGCCCTAGTGCATTTCTACCTATGGGCTATACCGTCGCTACTTGCGTAATCAACTGGAGGTCTGACTCAGCATCATCAAATAAATGGCTGCAACCCTTCCGGTTTATTGAGATCCAATACTCTACCAAAAAATATTTCCCTGGTGAGGGCCAGGTATCAGAGACATGACGATGGGTTAGGGATATGGATGAAATATTCCCTCCCTGCGTGGTCCCTTCCTCTTATAATTTCGTCGGCCTTCAATCTAGGCCTTTGGAAGGGATAAACTTCGTGGTCAGTTAATTGCGTTTTCCGAAGGACACAATGGAGCGCTTATCCAAAATTAGCGCACTTACTAACCTCGTATATCGGAGGCGGGTGTTCCGGTCCCTTGGTCAACGGAGATTTCCTGTTCCACAGGTAAATCATCTGCGTTTTAGGACACAGCCTTATTATGAGGGAAGTTTTTAGAGCCGCCCAAACATTTTCTATCTGGGAAGGGCGAAAGTTGTTACATTTCCTCCTGGTCCTACACGCTATGGATTGTAACATCACAAACTCTGCTAGTGACTTTTGGACTAGATCTCTGACCATTCACAGGTGTGCCCCACGCGTGGACTAACTGAAAATAACGTCTGTGAACATCGGAATGTTTAGAAAGACAGTCATGTGGATACGTTGGAGGTAATAAAGTCCCAAAAAGTCCAAAGAAACCCCGACATGGGGATAAAATAGCTGGGAGGAGCAAGGGCCATTCTGCCAAAAAGAGGGCACAGCGAAGTCAAAGTAAGGGAGTCAGCAGAGGAAATTCGGATATGCTCTAAGTTACGGTCTAGTTTGTTGAATCCACTGAGGACAGCTGAGATTTGTGGTCGACGAAATCTGAAAACGCCGGAGGGATTGTTAGCTTCATCAGTCTGGCCAAGAAGATTATGAGGAGCAGGAGAGCCTCGCCGAGGTCGTTCGCCTCCAGATCACTGGAAACAGCTGGAACGTGAACAAAGACTGTCCGGTCTGGTCCGTATTGAAGGGACCTGGGAAGTAAATAAGACACGTCTTCACATAGGTCGTGGTCTGGCGAGTAACCCTCCTAGATAATGTTTAGTCTTGGTATCCATGCCGGGCTCCTAGGACGTCTGTACAAGTTAGCCAATTTGGCCAAACTGGTGGACGGCTGTCAAAGAAACATGGAGGGAGACATTCGAAAGTCAGGAAGGTTGGTTGCCTCGCTCTAGACCTATCCGAATATTGATGAGCTGGAGCAAATGAGGGACAAGACATTAGTCCGACCTTGTCACGAATTTCGGACAGTCGTATGCCACCTAGCATTTCGTCCATGCAGGCCGGAAGGATAGAGACCCCAGCGGAATGCCCGATGTGTCTGAATGAGACGAGCAGTGGAAGGTCCCCCCAACGTTTTGGTGTCACGAACTAAGGGAATGGAAAGCCGGCAAAACAGTGCTGACTGACCGATACCGGGGTTGTAGTCTGTCTGCAAAACTAACCGCTTACAACGTGGTTACAACAGCAAGACAATACCGTAGTGTAGGAGTCGTTTCACATCACAGTAAGAAGGCTTCTCACACTGCTATCAAACTAGACATCTGTCGAGGACCCCTTCATGCAGAAGATTCCAATGACAGCTCATGGGGCAAACGGTCAGGACGACTGACGCCATCCTCATTATGATGGCCGTGACATTTGATGCGCGCGGAAACTGGAGATGGCAAAGACTGAATTGGACCGCTAGACCAATGACTAGTCTTCAACGACTTCGAGAATAGAAGTGAGATTTCAAAAAGCCAGAACTTCGAAAAAGTTGAAGTTTCGGACAAGGTCTGGTGAGATTTGCCAATCACCAAGCGGTCTCGCGATCTTGGTTCACTTGAAGCACTTTATAGCTGAATGGGAAAACCAAACACCCAGGCGACTGTCATACTTACATGTGGTAAATGTAGTCGCAAAGGAAGGTGCCTGGATTTGCAGACAGGACACACTTGTGGCCGACTGCATTGAGCATTGTACAGGCGTCCGCCAGCGGCAGAGTGGTCTGTGTAAATGTCCCACAAGAAGGGGCTGAACAGACTTGTCCTAGTACATCTACCTGGCAGAAAGGTCCGTCAAAGGCTCCAGTCTCGAGAGCAATGGCACTAGAGCCGCAGGATACACCACAGTGTATCACTAGGTCCTGCAAGGCAAAAAGTCAGAAGCAACGCTTGGGGTATCCGCGCGTCAAGACAATAGGTCTCCCTGCTGGTGACACTACCCATAGATAAGGAAGGAAGGTAGACAGGATTCTAGTGCTTGTCAGTACGGGTGACCGGTCCTTATTGACTAGAGAATCCGCCCTAATGACTCGACAAAACGGTACTTTTGGGAGTGAAGACGGCCACTTACTTAATCGAACACGTGAGAAAGTCACGGAGGTGAATAAGTAGTTGTTAGAAACTACGTTGAGGTCAGTTGGCACTATAATAGTTGGCGAGTATTTCCTGGAGGGGAATTCACGCAGTCCACTCACAGAACTGTCAGTTCGGCGAGATTTGCCAATTGATCTCGGTCGAAATAATTCACATTTCGGTTGATATGCACGTCGGAACTAAACGCCTCAAACGGCTTTGCGTGGATGTCAAGGTTGCAGCTAATGCTAACCACAAAAAGCGAGTGGGTGTTGACAATGGCCAAACAATCAGTGAGTATAGCGCTCCTTCATGCCTACCCTTGCCCTGGGGTAAGCAACATGACTGAGCTTATTGTTAGCTACGACATTTATAGCATTCTTGGTTTCAAGGGCGCCTAGCACCAGGTACATATTCTGACGGAGGAACAGCCATACACAACCTTGGGAATTATGGACGTTTGTATTCATTTTGCCAAATTCTGGCTGGCGTGACTAATGAAGTTGCATGTTTCCTACGAACTGTCGATGGCACCATTATGCGCGAGATTTAAGGGCGTCGGTCTACGTGAACAATGTCCCCATTTGCGGGGACGGCCTTGCTCGTAAGTCAAACCCTCGAAAATTCCTCCACATGACCGAGGAATATGGACCGACCTTCGGCAAAGTCAAAAGTTTCATCGCTGCTAAGCAAGTCAGGCGCCTTCGATACAAGACTTGTAAGGGTAATGCCAAAACAGATCCGGACCGCTTAAAGTAGTTAAGTGGAGTGGCTCCCCCGCATGGCGGACTGTTCGCCCACTACTCACAACGGATGTTCCCTTTATCATATGAAATTCACCTACTCATCTAAAAAACTTTCCTGCCGCTACTGGACGTGAAAGAAGCATTTAAAGCTCTTAAAGAGGAACTTCTAAATGCCACAATCGCTTCTGTCCACTATAAAACCCCCACTGATGGCCGAAACCGCTGCTTCAACTGTCTCGATTGCCGACAGGCTGAATCAGAATGGCTGATCGGTAGCGTTCCTTTCGCGTGTTATATCCCCAATTGAACGACATTACTCTGCGGTCGAGAAATAAGTGTATGCCACAGGGGTGTCCATAAACGAATGGGAGCAATTTTTCTATTTAGTCATCCCAAACTTTTTACAAATCTGCGTTTATGACCGTTATCTATGGTGATCAACAAAATGAGGGTTAGGATAAGATTGAACGCTGGCGATGGGAGCTATTGTCATCCAAATTTAATAATTTAATGATGTGATAAAGAAAACTTATTCGCAGGCATGCCTTGTCGTGGTTCTGATGCCTTAATGAGTAGTGTCGATCTGAAAGGGTCCTATGAGTTGCTATGTAATTCTGATGTCTCGCGACTGCCCCACTTTTGACGAGTCAGGAACCTTATTTTTCGATGAAAGAAATTGATATTGTAGTCGTTGGATGTTAACCCTGTTGGAAAACTGGATTCCGTTTTTCCTCTTGAAGACAAGGCCAACGCATCGGGCTTACCCAGCAGTTCGAACAATCGTCATTCGACTTCCAATATCCGCCATCCTTAATGACAGGCAGCCGTTATTTTATAACGATTATTTATGAACATTGTCGTCTTGCATTTATATTTGTCTGTCCTTATCAGACTAGCGATAATGTCACATAGTTTTTGTGCCAGTTCTCCATATTCTGTAGTCGTTCGTAGATTCAAACCGATTGGAAACCGTCGTTTGTCAACCGACGTTCGGCAGTCCCTCAGTAATAAGGGAGTGACAATTGGTAGGACAACAGCATACAAATCCCCAAAGGGTGACGGGTGGGTTAGGGCGTTTGGAGCAAATTTCGTGAATGACTATTTTACATGCTCTGAAATCTCATAAATTGTCAATCACGCCCCGGGAGTTCGTTGTAATTAATGTTTTGCGTCCAATCAGAGCACTGTTGTGGACAGTCGCCAATGCAAAACCATATGACAGGACGTTGATGCGCATTCGAAGGCCGACTACCGGGATCACCCTCCCTATGTGGCTCACCTCTTATGGTAAATTTCTATTGAAGAAGGAAGATTGTCCAAATGTGATCCGATTGTTAAGGTGGACCTGCTCCAGTGCAACTCCCAATATGCTTACATACAGTTCGCTAGTGACAAAGAAGAACCCGTAACCGTTCCCTTGCCTGATTTCAGGGGCGAAAACGTTGTTGATGAGACGCCAACACCCGAGCTCGATGATCCCCTTCCATTCCTACCTGACTGGTCACACAAAATTTGGTAAGAAAAGGATGCCTGGTTAGCTGATGAGCTATACATTGCCTGACAGCATTGCAAACCTTACTCCCAACAATGAGAAAGCGTTCCTGCAGGTGGAAGATTAAAGTTGGCGTGGACGGTTCGGATCCTCATTAATCATAAAACTACCCCTGGAGATCTTGACACATTATATTTTCTACAGAAAGCAAGTTTCTGACGGACAGCGGGTTGGTCCCGCATAATATCGTGTCAATATACTTCTGAGTGATGATGACAAGTTCGGTACCAGATACATGCCAAAAGGAGACTGGCCGAACGCTGCAAGTACAGTTGACATTCCACCTCACCGCCTGCATATGGGATCCCTAACAGATTCGAAGTATCAGACAAATCAACAAGGTTTCATTGCCAAATTAGTCCACACAGTTCTTCGTGTGCGTGCGTTCCATAGGTATGTTCTCCAATTACACACTCCAGTCCTTTCGCCGCCTGGGCACATTCTCGCCCGAGAAAATTCCTGAATTTGCTCACGGAAATAAAAAAGAAATGGTTATGTGTACTTGCTGGCCACCATCATGACGGTAGTTACTGCAGTAACTAGTTGTCACTGCTTACTGTTTATACGGCTCGAATATTGGTTCAGCCATATGAAGTTCGCAGAACAATGGTCTAGGAAAAGTTGTCTAGTGGAAATTGAGCAGTAAGAGCTGTGGATAGAGCTTTTGAATTCGAAAGCTTCAGCAAGTTCGCAAAGAATTTGGAAAGACGTAATGTCAAGCTAAAAAACGACGCCTGCTAGTGTGAAGAGAAAGAGGGTGCCCCGTAACAAGAACTAGAAGACCAAAAAACTTACGGGAGGCTCCCCTTTCCAAATGATTGGCATGAGATTCTGGACAGCGCGGTAGGAGACTTCCAGGTTAGCAAAAATAATAAGCTCCGACACGTCATCCGAGGAATCAAGTAAATTATCCCACAACTTCTTTAAGCCCTGTACAGCAAGCGTGCTGCTGTTAACTTTGACGGAACAAAATGGCCCAAAACCTGATACAACAACTCGCATGGTGCGGTAGACGCACCCGGGCTACTTGCAACCCGCTAACAACCCACAACCAATCCCAGCCCATCACCCCCTAACGCCTCTGGGGGGCGCGCGCGATTCTTCTTTCTAGAAGACGATTACTTATAAATGGCGGTCACACCATACAACGACTAGTCATAACCATGCAGATTGGCTATTTAAACCGTAGTGCCCTGTTTGACATAATCTGATTTCTCTATGAAGTTCCTGGATATGATGCACTATAAGCCTTAAGTATTCCGAATTTGATAGCATACGGTTGTTTCACTTCTTCGCGACCAATCACAATGTTGCATTCTAGAACTTGACGAATTTTGAGGCTAATAATAAGGTCGAGAACTAGCCCCAGGGAACACCCCATCGTTGTCGTCGTTCTCTTTGAATCAACGGACGTCGTCTACGCCAGCGGATCTACCTTCCTGCTTCTAGGTATCCTACTCTCGTCCCCAAGGACAGATTATTTTGTTCGTAGTTCTGACTGCATAGATGCTTCAGCAGGCCAGTATGCTGGCCTTTTAAGCAACTCCAGATTCGTTTTCTCGACAATCACCTATCTTTGTACGTTGGCTGGGTTAGCAACGAATTGGTGGCAGAGGTGTCCGGCCACCTTCGATCATTTGATTGGCAAATGAGCAAGGGTCTGCGAAAGCTGGGTCTGTTGCAGCCCTGCCGGAGAACTTGTCCAGATCAGCGGATCATGGCCGTTAGGAGGCGGGAACAAAAGGCTATCTAGGAAACCTGGATGTTAGGTCGCAAGTTGGACCATTATGGCCATCCGGAAGGACGAGTTTTACGACCTCGCTCTCTCAGCTGACTTCTCGTCGGCTCTGTCCCTGGCTGATATCTTCGGCCGTCCACGCAGGATTCTCCGGCGTATAATGTATCCCTAGTTGGTTGAGCTCGCGTCTAACAACCGGCCGAAAGTGTCACCGACATTTAGCTGGCAATTAATCTCCTGGATCAAAAAGTTTCCCAACTCTTGACGTTGTAACCCCGAATCAGTGGCGCTGGAGCAATTCATTGTTAGTAATGCGGTCCCGCAGACCCGGAAGGCGTTGTTTCGGGGGCAACTCTCCGTTCTCGATAAGTCCCTGTGGCGCGCTTGATAGGAGGAGATACTCCAGGCTGTCTGTAACCAACGGGTCAGGCCGCTGCTAAGTGCAGAGACAGCTAAACGCGCGACATTGGTGTTATTCGTGCTGAGACGAGTATCTACACAAACTTATAAGGAACTGTTCGACGAAACCTACGGAAGATTCGATCTGTCTCACTTGAAGTATGCCATAAAGGCCTTGAGTCCGTGGCTCAAGAAAGACTAACAACCTCTGGAACGAGTACATGAGAGAGCTCTGGAGATGGTGAAGAGTCTTGGTGATCTGTCATAGGAATCCAGAGTAGGTAAACTTAATCTGTTTCCTTTTAATTGCAGGCGAGTGTGTGGAGATCTTATCCAAACCGACCGGATTGCTATCGGTCGTGAGCGTGCGCTAGAATTCGATGCCTTCTTCCACTAATCTAGGACAGACCGTCTTTGTGCTTTTGCCGTTTAACTGTAAATTAATTTGGCCCATACGGACGTTCGATGAAAGGGTTTCTTGCTGAAGGTCGTTGAAGCCTGCAAGGCACTTCCTATGGTGACAGGAATTTTAGGTATTGCTGGAGTATTTAAATGATGACCAGATACTCATTCTGAGATACTGTTCAACTTATAATCAAGGTTGCATCAATGCGGTAGTTTGCGTCTGGCCCACACATTCCGATGAATTACTGCTGAAAAGAATGATTCGAGGAAGCCACTTGAACACCGAAGTCAATCTCTATCTCAATATTTGAAAATAGTTGCTCATTCAGAAGGTGTTGGGAAAAATCATCTTCCCCGTTGGTCCTCTTGGCACGATGCCTTAAGATCCTAGTGGTATCAAGGTTTAAATGTACGAGTGAGCGTGCAGACCAGCTGCCGAGCCAATTATGACTCAGCTGATGTGTGTGCATATCTTCATTAGACCTGACACCTCGGCGAGACAGAAAGCCATTTTGGTGGCCTAACAATAAGCAGCTGCTTGAAGTCGTCTCCGTCAGTAATCAGCTGTATGATCCGTTGTGCAAATACACCCTAAAAAAATCTAGCCCCCATAATTAAGGGTCTGTCAACACGTGTTGTGAGGTCTATCTCCTGAATATCTCTGCATAAGCGTTTATTATTCCGATAAAAGTTGTCCGCGTCCCCTAGTTATGTCGAGATTGTGTTCACCTATCGAGTTTCGGGCACGCTTGTTGTAATTTCAATGCAGCATGGCCCTTAGGTTCCTTCTCGTTGACTAATTCGAATCTGCCACTTTCAATATAACAAAGTCCTGCGGAAATAGGGCAATATAATTCTGAATATAAGTATAGCTTGGACGGTATAGGGAAAGATGGTTTCTTAAGTAGGACTGTTCCATAGTCAACTCGATTTATGATCCTTCCAATGAATTATGAAACCCATTTAAAAAGCATGATATTAAGCCCAAGCCAGTTTTTACAGACGTCCACTGTTTACTAAAGCACAGCAACATACCAATGGCGAGATGCTCTTCACGTACATTACAGAGGCAGCGGACCATTTTGTGACGTGAGACACGGTTAGGGTCTGTCGGTACTTCGTGCCTGATATTGTTTCACGTATTTTAACTTCCGATTATCAGATGCGTCAGCCACATTTCAAAATCGTTCGGGATCACATTTGAACTGTTAAAGAAAACTAACGAAAAAACTAAAATGAAATTTTCAGTCAACGTCATCTGCTTCAAGACTAACTCACCAAACATCGCCGAGTACCTAAGCTGCACATAGACAGTTCGACTGTCGTCAAAAACGATGTCCACCGTGTGCGACATAGCAAGATGCAGGCAGAGCCTACGACTTGCGCAAGAGTTTGTTTATGCTAGTAGTGGACTTGCGCTCATCTACGGCATTATCTCCCTCCTCAACCACCCGGAAGCGGCATCAAGATTAAGTTAGGTCAGTATAGGTCAGTATATTTTAAGGGTAGTGGGCAATGCTTTTGAAAACCCTATTAAAAACGGTACATGCGCTATCTAACTTTAAGTGAACACGGTTCTAAAATTATGTCAGTAATATACACACTTTACAGAACATTTGGCTTAAAATGTTGGACCGAAACTGAAGAACACCCAGCTGTAGTTGATAACGGTAAATGAAATGACAATCATCCGCATTAGCGGTAGGTGTATTCAAGGCATTGGTTTAGTATAACAGTGCTGTTATCACCTCCTCGGGAAACCCGATCCAGGCACCAACGACTCGCTGTGAAAGTAAGTACCTACAAATGTCCAGGCGGCATCGGGATCCTCTAAGTTTAGAGAGTTACCAAACAGATTTGCTGTTGTAACCAGGTTGAAGAAATCATTGATGTGAGGCGTGCAGTCCCGGTTCTTCAAAATCCAGTACGTCTGTTTGAGATCTCCTCGGATCGGCCTGTACTCAAGAGGAAATAGGTTAAACTCATCAATTCTGCATTTGTCAGGTGACGTATTGAGGCATTTCACAAGTTTGGTCGTCCTCCTCTGAACTCTGTCCAGCAACTTATAGTCTTTTTTCAGCCACGGGCGCCCCGCTTGTATTTAGATAACAGATAAAAAATGTACGAAATGCACGGTTTACGAGCGCTTTCAGGGTTATTATTACACTCTCACTCTTTCTCTTCACTCTTCTCACCCTCTGGCTCATCAGTGTTTCCCTCGCCTGCTTTCTCGGTCTCGACCTCGGCCTTGACCTTCTCTGCCATTTCTGTGTGCGAACAAATAAACGCTTCGTATACTTTCCCAAATAACTCTTTGACTATACCTAGGAAAGCTCGTTTGATAGCGAAGAGAACACCGGTTGCCCTTTTGGCCGCCCTAACGCATTGACAGGAGGGCTTAAGAGTCGAAAGAATTCATGGAATTGACAAAATGTTTACCCCAAGATCTTTTTGTTCGGCCACATTTGAAAGGTACCATCCGCCAAGCAGGTAATGATGATCCTATCCATCGACTCTTCCATTTGTTTTGAGTCGCGGGGCGGCACACTTCTCAAGGTCAAACTTTGGCAGCCATTTGTCGGACCATGCACATAGGCGGTTCAATCCTTCTTGCAAGGTTTGCTCATCATTTTCCCGTTGATCACTTGCCATAACTTGATGTCATCGGCAAACATGAAACCCCTTTCAGTCCAGTCCATTCATATATTCGTTGACATAAATTGAAAATAGTACTGGTCCGAGCACAGAGCCCTGGGGAACTGCACTCACACCTGGCACTTGCGTTGACTTCGCAGTGCCAATGCACACAGACTGTGATCGGCCGGTCAGAAAGTACTTTGCGCAATTTTATAGGTTTCCCCTTATCCCTGACTCTCGGTGGTGTGGAACACTATCAAAGTCCTTCTTGAAATCGGTGTAAACGATATCGACCTTTGTTATTTCGTCTAACAAGCGGGATCAATGCTCCCTTGAAATGAGCATATTAGTTAAGCAGGAGCGAGTTCGTCGAAAACCGTGCTGGGAAATATTAAAGAAGTACTTTTCTTCAAGGAACTTCATAATGACTTTTTGGTTATTCTTTTCATAACTTAACAACAAATGCACGTTAGGCTCACCGGCCGATAATTGTTTGCACTTGTTATAGATCCACCCCTGTGAATGATATATATATTCGCCAATTTCCAATGGGAGGGGAGAAGACCTCGGTCAAATGACGACTGGAAAATATGCAAAAGCGGTCTGGCGAGTTCGTACGCCATCTCCTTTAGAACTTTTGTCGGTATTTGGTCTGGACCCGGAGACTTATACTCCCTAAGCGCCAGAAATTCCTTCCTTACATCTTCTTCCGTGAAGTCGACGCTTTCCATTATTTCGTCGGTCGTTCCAATAAGCAATCCAGCCTCGTTGTAGTCCATTTTATCGGTGAACACGGATGCGAAAAACCGGCTAATTTGCTCTGCCTTAGCGTCATTTTCGTTGATATCTCCACAGTTTTCTCCCTACAACACTGAGACCGACTTTTTGTTCTTTGGCCTGCTGTTGATGTAACTGAAGGATACTTTTGGCTCATTGACGGCCCGTTCTGTAACTCGCATTTCATACTACTTCCGCGGTCTGCGGATATGTGAACTTATCTCGTTTCGCTTTCGGCGAAACCGCTCATAATTAGAAGGTTGTTTTGTTATTGCATACCCTTTCCATAGTTCATGATTCCGGTCTATCTCTTTCTTCATATCCCGCATTATCCAGGCAGGACGAATATTCTTTTTGACTCTGTTTGTCGGACAGTTTCGATGCATGACGTCGGTTACAACTCCTTTGAGAGTGTTCCAGTCAGCATGTGGATGTCCGGAAGAACGTCATGCCAGTTCACCGCCGATAATTCACTTCTCATGAGAGAAAAATCTCCTTGTCAGAAATTCAGCCGAGGCTCAGTCGTATCCACTTGCTGGCTGCATAAGCAGCATTCCAAAAACAGCATGACATGCTCAATCTTACAGAGCGGTGCTATGGACCTAAGTTCGCCAGGACTAATTCGGACTTTTGTAAGGACGAGATCCAGGGAGTTGCTCTTTGGTCCTCTGATGCTGATTGGGAGCGTGACATACTCTACGAGAAAGAGATCGGTAGTTATTTTCAAGAACCGGGCGTCAAACGCGAACTTGTTACAAGTGAATTCGCCCAAACGACCCTCGGTGCGTTGAAGCCTCCGGTTATCTGTACCTCTTGGTTTTGTGTCACCTCTTTGATGGGACACCGACGGGTCTTTAATAAACAATTATTTTTATTATCATCCAAATTTCCCCTCGTCAACGTCAGGAGTCCGATTAGGTGGCCTGTATACGGGCAGGGAATTCAGATTAGGTGCATCACGCATCCTTCGTTTAAACTGAACATTTGCATAAAGAAGGCGGAACTTAGCCTGGGCGGATTCCCGAAGGATTTTTGGGTCGAAGTCGCTAGATATTTCATGTGGGTTTTCGGGTCTATCGAGCCCTCAGAGCGTACGGCTATCTGATGGAAATGGAGGTCAGTGTGTTGACGGTCATTTTTTGGTCGGTTTGGCAGATAAGAGCGTTCTGCCGTTTTAATGTGGTTGTTCATTATGATCAGTGTTATTGGCTGTCTAGAGAGGAATGAGTTCCGAACATTTACAATTTTCCCACTCAATATTTGTAGGTTTTTCTCGCCAGCATTGTAGCTTCTGAAGAATGCAGTCTTGAGTTCTCTCCATTTCTCCCGTTCGGCTAGTGGGAAATCATACTGAAAAATTTGTTGGATGGGTGAGAAGACCAGATGCGGGGACGGGTACAGATGGCCTGTGCCGAAGTGTGCATGACAATTTTTATTGCATTTGCAGTCTGATAGCGCGTATCTGACCCTCATTCGGCACCCGATGTTGGTCCAACTTAACTCCGACTTGACTTGTTTAGTGGGGCAACATAGGAAACTAACCTAAGGATGGCCCAAATGCCATATGTTGAACGGCCTGGCATGTACGGCTGACAGAGCCGTTGCTCTTAAAAGATTGCTCAAGTTTTTAAATGTCTTGCGTTTGTCAACATATTTTGTTCATTTTGTTTGCGATGTTTTGTTTTGTTGCATGGGTTCTTGTTACATACCTTGGTCATTGGGCTGTCCCGCGCGGGTTGGTTTTATTTGTGGGCCACTTCTTGAACGGTTGGCCAGTCATACATTGTTTAGCCCGGCCCGCATGCTCCGGCGCCCTCACACCAGGAGTTGCCCAGGTTCACCAAGAACATACCCTTGCATTGCCGTCGTCTGCACCATACGTTTTATCCGTTTAGAAAGACTAGTTAGGGAAAGGGTCAATAGTTGCAAGCATAACTTAATAAGAAGATGGAGTATTTTCATGACGCAAAAGTTTTTACCGACCTTAATGCAGTTGACTGGGCCACCAGCTCCCATCCTTTAATCCCCAACAAGTATTTATGTTTGGTCCCCTTTTAATATTTCAGCCATACCACGCTTAGAAATAGCCAGACGTCATTCCCTTAAACTTACAACACCCTTTGATTTTGTTTCGTGGCCGTTTCTGCATAGTTGTCCCTCCAAAATCTGCCGAGCTACTTACTGTCTTTTACATTGACTCTGGAGATATGGGAACACCTGTGGAGTGTGAACTGCATGTAGTATCTACCAGATCTTTGGCTTCACTCTCGTCGTTCGAGTACACTTCAGAATGTCGGCATAATTTCCATAGATAAACGTTTGAAAGTTATGTTAGGTAGCACCATTACCAATCAACGGGCGTCATTTTCCCCTTCAACGATCTACAATAAAAGCAAACGATGCTGAGCAATGGCACAGCTGTCACGTAACGGCTGTCGCAAAAGTTCATTTGCTTCGGTTTATTGACGTTGGAAGCATATTCACAGGTTCTAGCTACGGAGGGATGGTCTCATAAGATAAATAGTCTTGGGAACATTGCATTCTCATCGACCGATGCGAGGATACGAAAGATGCACGTTGCGTATGCGGAGTTTCATCTTTTCCGTTGTCTTTGCGTTTTCCGTCTAAAAGTCGATGATTGCATATGCTACGATCGACTCCTGGCAGTACTGTTACATTCATAAGATATTAGGACGAGCCGGAAGGTTGGGTCCCGAGATCGCCAGTTTTTGGGTAGAATCACCGTCATAAGCTAACTTGGCCGCGTAAGCAGTCTCGAGGTGCTTACTCGACTTTTTGTGGAGGACGGTTGACAATACCTAGTTTCGACTCGGAAGGCCATATTACTGCATGCCAAAGCCTAATGCTTACGCAAGCGCCCCCTGGAGCTGACAAAATGTGTGGACCAGGCCAAGTAGTGGCCATTACGGGCGTATTATTTCATGTCAGCAAGTGCGATAGACGATGAATGCGTCATTCTGAATCAGCCTACGGGAACTGTCTACTTACTGGCCCAAAACCAAACACGACGTTCTCATGCGATTATTGGTCCAGCTTCCTTTTCATCCGGCTAGCCTTCTGAAATTACTTTGCTGTATTTATTAGTAGCCACTGAGCTAGGCACAATCATCGTGTTGAAACAGAGCATCCGGCCGATTCTTTTTCTGAAAATCGAACCTAGATACAGCTGACCGAATTGTAGTGATGTTTAGAAGTCCCTAGAATGGCGAGAGCAGGGGAGATTTTGGGACAAAATTCAAGGGTAATGACGAAGCAGATGTGCTGGAAAGTGATCCTTCCCCGATATCTGACATTGAGTGTCAAAGCACTGATTTGCTGACGTTTTCACCCCAACGTTTGGACGTGACTGTTGGGTATATCGTCCGTGCGTGTTACTCAACCTTAGTTCACTGATGCAAAAGTTGACTTTTGCGCAGGCCACTGGGAGGATTTCTGCCCCAATTTCTCCGGTTCCGTGGACACAACGCAGAATGTTAGTTCTCAAAGTAGTGCCTTCCAGATATCTTTTTTAAAACATTATCAGTTGTAAAGTGTAGCTACATAGCCCTTTAGTAGAAATTAATGCATTCTCATCTTCTGAATTGCAGTTAAAATATTTTTGCAACGCCCCCATCTATATTTTTGAAGCAATACCCGCTTAACAATAAAGGAAATATTTGTAACACCTGCGCTTGCTAGGCACTTTAATGGTAGTTCCACTGTCATAGTCGATGAGCACCACCAAGGGCCCGAAGAGATCTCAGTGCTAATTGGCGCGTTCATTGTTTACCATAAAGTAGCATTGCGCTGCATCTGCCTCAGTCTTCCTTTCCACACCCAACAGTGACAAGACAGGAACAATGACTAGAAGGCACAATGAATAGAGAGGGGCGTGAACAGAGTGGCTGCCAAAGCCAAATATCCCGCCTTCGTGTGCGGCACACGACCTAGCCTCCGACTCCTCGCGAACCACTCATCACTCAGTGGGTCTCTGGTCTCAACCAAGGTTACATTGAAACGTCATTGTGGTCTGACCGGCAGCCCTTATTAGGACCGTGTTATCTTGTCATTTAGCAGCCTCTAAACCACGACTGTTAACTCGCTATGGTGCCTCCGAGCTCATCAGATTTTTGGGACTGTCATAGATAAGACCGATTACACGACGAAACGGCAAAGTCTGTTGGAGAACGGAGGTGCTTATGAGCTTTCGGAGACTGGAGAGTTCAAGAAGCACGTGAACAGCGTAAACAGGGCGATAGACAGGTTGAAGAAGGCAGGAGCCCTCAAGAGAAAGGAGGCATTGGCCGCAAAAGCCACAGATGCCGCCATGGCGCGTTTCTACGGCCTGCCAAAAGTGCATAAGCCAGGAGTCCCCTTACGCCCCATGGTCTTCCAACGAGTTCAAACACACCGTACTGACGACGACGGGAGAGAGGAAGGAGCAAAATACCGATATTCTTTATTCGTAGTCAATGGTTACCCACGATCCTTTAAACGTGAGTGCCTACGAAAGCCTACCCATCAGCGATCAAACGGTGAGAAGCCGAAGTTTTGACTCGCGATCACCTACGTGAGGAATGTCTCTGAGGCGACAGCTAGAATCCTGAACCCTTTTGGGATTGGGGTAGCCCATAAACCGGAATCCACTATCGGGTAGCAGATAATGAGACCCAAAGACCCGTTACCGGCAACAGAACAATCAGCAAGCCGTACCAAAATTGCAATGCGAGGTATGTTGGTGAAACGGGGAAATTCCTTTGCACAAGACTGCGTGCGCACCAGCTTGCAATCAACCGCGAGGATAAACTGTCACTGGTATATGGCCACATGCAACAGGAGAAACATAGTTTCGCCTTTGGGGAAGCAAGCGTCCTCGGCCGAGCCCATGACAAGATGGCTAGGCTGGTGCACGAAAGCTGGTCCTCAGTTGGCACAATCAACAGGGCTATTGATTTTCATCCGGCCTACCAGGCGCTGCGTACAAGGCACCAGTTAGTGCAGACGGGGCCGACAGCACTGGCGAACGAGTCGCGGCTCCTCCAACAGTTGTCACCTTCACAACAGAGGGTAAGAGCCAGTCGGAGGTCACACGGCCAACGCTAGACGTCGGCCCACCGGCGCGCCCAGACAGCCGATCGTGATTCGCACATGCAACGGCAACTGATCAGTCCATCCGATTATGAGGTGGGCACACAGGATTTGCAGCGATTACGACAGCCGGGCAGGGGACACTGGTCACAGGAGCGCGCCAGCAGTCGCCCGCGGAGAGACTAAAGCCAATCCCCAGCCAGAAGGCAGGTCAGAGTTCGTGCGTCAGGCATGTCTATAACACAAGATAGGCGGCGAGGCAGAACAACTTCGAGCAAGCAGGAACAGACACCCCACCACTCTGATGATGGAAACGAGGAAGTTTCCGAAACGTCAGCACCAATACACTGTGGTCCATGCAATCGCCCCTTTTTCTTCTTCGTCTTCTTTTGGGGATGATAAACGGGATATATATATATATATATATATATATATATATATATATTGAAAAGAGATGGCTTTTTTTGGACAAGAGGATTTATTTCGTAAATTTTCGACGCTGGTTCCCAGGTCGTCGTCAGACGCAAGCGGAAAGCAAATGTGAAAGCAAGAAACAACTTTTGTGGACTTTAGGCAATCCATAGATCCTCGCGATGGTCGGCTCAGTTTGTTTGGGCGATTTAGCGATGTCTTCTGACAGTTGTTTCTTCCCTGTGAGACGCTTCAAGACTTTGTCGATGGATGAAGCTTGCGCTTTGGTGGGGTCTGTTAGGAGTGGTTGGTAAGTAGATCTGTCGTCTAATAATGACAGCATTTTCTGTTTGTAGTCTGTCTTGTTCAAAATGGCAGTGGAGCCTCCTTTGTCCGCGGGAAGAATGATAATATTTTGGTCCATTTTAAGGCCTTTAATCGGCATTTTCTCCTCAAGTGATAGTACTGTAAACTGGTTCCGGTCTCTTAAGGCTTGTACAGTACTATTTCGGATAGGCGCTCACCGACCAGGTTACGGAACATGCGCTTTCCGTTGTGCGTTGGGGCTCATATTAGAACCCTCGTAGGCTGTCGCACAGCTACTAGTAGTAGAAGTAAATGTCGGTATCATCTCACATATATATCCTCCAAGTTCATAAATCATAACAGTGAGGACTTGTGGTTCCCCAGTTAATTTCATAATCTACCCTAGGAACTGTTTTTTGCTTCTTGTAGATCAGCAGGATATACTATGTTCACCACTACCGACGTCTACTCGGCGGCCTCGGCGATTGGTCAGGAGCTGCAGCTCCTAATTGATGAATTTGGTCCTGATGACGTGGAGTCCTTTATGTTCAAAGTGATTACTGTGCTGGAGGACTTGGAAGCCTGCGTAAATATGTCCACTGAGATGGAGGAAAAGGTGAACACCCTGCGGGAAAAGCTGGAATCTCTCCGGTCTGACAGGCAACAGTTTTCTGACTCGAGGGACAACTATGCCATGGTTGGTCTCCGCTTCTACCACCACCTTTTTGATTTTTTTCGACTTATTTAATTAATCAAATCTCATAGTCACGCAGAGTATGGGATTCACTGCTGGGGTCTGACTACTGTGTGTGACAATGGCCTTCCATCTTGCCCAGCTTGTGTATGACTGTCTGGCGACAGCGTGTTGGCCAAAGCTGATCATCCCCGCCTCCCGGGAAGACGAGTTGCCCGTTAGCCTAGCTGCTGGCTACCCGGCGCGTCCATAGATGGCGGATAGTGGGACGACCTTCAGTGAAGGTTAGCTGCGAAAGAAGCAGTCGCGGACCAGCAGCGACATTGCCACCAGGGTGCGGTGGGCTGGGACCTGGAACGCTGAAAGCCTTATAAAAAGCCGCAAAACCCAATGACGGCATTGTGACATGGCGACCGCAAACCACCATTAAATAAGTTTACTTGCCACCCTGTCTTGTGGTTAGGCTTTTAAGCCAAAGCGCTAGAGGAGACAACCTCGAACAAACAATCCGAGCGGCCGTTGAGGACCCGCCCGTATTCGAACTTCCCAAGAAACCTCATGAAATCTGTCCGATCACAGTATTACGACCCATGCTACGGCGTCCGCGGGAACTGACGCGCTCCGCAGCCTTGGTCCAGTGGTGCGGGCGAATAGTATGCGAACTGGACTACTCAATCGTGGACGACTCTCGGTATTGGATGCTGGAATGTGCGAACGTTCCTGGACACCGGTACCCAAAGTCCGACCGCGCGCAGCCTTTTTCAGTACAATGTGAATGTCTGCTGTCCGTCTGAAGTTCGACTTCCTGACTCAGGCTCCCGTGAAATAAAGATCCTGGGAGTCGAATCACACTTCACCCTGTACCACAGCGGCCTGCGAGATTCTTCCGGTTGACACGGTGTGGCGATCGTCCCATCACAACAAGCGGACCTCGCGCTACTTGTTTGGGAACCAGTCAATGACCGGATGGCCTACGTGCGACTGAAGGGTCACTTCACGAACATCTCAATCGTTTCTGTGTACGCACCAACTTCGGATGCCGAAGAGCGCGATAAAGATGCGTTTTACTCTCAGTTGCAAGCGCTAGTTGAAAGACCGCCTCGCCGCGATCTGTTGATTGTTGCTGGCGATTGGAATGGTCGAACTGGACCTGGCGACTTCACGACCAGTCATCTTTTTGGCCGCTTTGGGCTTGGCTCCAGATGCTGATGGTGAGAGATTGCCGAACTCCGCTGATCGAAACCGACTACTTGTCACCAACACTTGTTTCCAACATCGCAAAAAGCCTCTGCTGACCTGGTATTCAAACGACGGTCATACGACCAGTCAGATTGACTACATGCTAGTCAGCTCAAGGTTCCGCAGCTGGGTTCACGATAGCAGATCGATGCGTGGTGCCGAGACTGGTAACGCCCATGGGTCGGGCCATGTCCTCGTCCGTACACGCTTGAAAGTTCATCTCTCACCCGCGCCAAAAATGCCACGTCTTAGACGCCTCGATGTCGCAAAAATCCGGCAAGCCAGCACTGCCGAGGCCCTAAACAGAGAAATCCGGACCTGTTTTACGACCCGAGCCGACGGAGAAGTCAGTAACCAGTGTTCGTCACTGAAGACTTCAGTCTATGGGGCAGCTGAGAAAATCCTTGGACGCACCCAGCGACGCCGCAGTGACTGGAGCAGCGGAAGCACCCTACAGTTGTCTGCTCAGACGCCTCGAGCCTGGTCCCGCAACGATGACTACTTCCGCCAACTTCGGAAGATGACGGCAAAATCGGTCAGGGGTGACCGGAAGCAATATTGGGATGAAATAGCGACCCCCATGGAACAGGCCTCGAACGTTGCTGGCACTCGAAAGCTCTACCGTCTGATCCGCCAAGTTAGCGGTAAGCCCTCTACACTGAGTGACTGTTCGCGATGTGAACGGCGGCTTTATTGCTGACAACTCGGCCAAAGTCGAGCGCTGGCGTGAGCAATTTGAGCACCATCTCAACTTCGATACCCAACCTACCTCGCCATTGCTCTCGTCCTCAGCGGAGTTTCTTCCCTCTCCCACCAATGCAGTGCCACGCGATCCCCCCTCCGAGGAAGAAGTCGCCGATGCCATACGAACGTTACGCAACAATAAGGCACCCGGAGAGGACAGTATACCCGCTGAAATCTTCAAGTCTTGTGTCGACACTCTAGCGCCCTGGCTCCATGAGGTGGTTGAACGAGCGTGGAGAGACGAGGTTGTTCCTGCTGACTGGGACTTAGGCATCCTTGCACCTATCCACAAGAAGGGAGATAAGAGTAGAGGCTAGAACTACCGCGGCATAAGCCTCATCGACGTTACTGCGAAGAGTTCGCTATTGTCCTACTCAGACGATTCCAGACTGTGCGTGACCCAAGGACGAGGCCCAACCAAACTGGATTTCGTGCTGGACGTGGATACGCCGACCAGATATTAACACTGAGGCGCATTCTCGAATTTCGCCATAGCTACAAACAAGCGACGGCCGTCTGCTTTATTGACTTTGTCTCCGCGTTCGATTGCGTTCATCGTGAGTCCCTGTGGCGGATAGTGGCGCTAGATGGTGTACCGGCAAAAATCATCGCCATGATCAAGGCCTACTATCGTTCCACTACTGCGAGAGTCCTGGTCCGCAACAATCTTTCCCAACCGTTCGGTTTTCGGTCTGGCGTTCGACAGGGTTGTATCCTGTCACTCATTCTGTTCAACTACGCTCTTGACTGGATCCTCGAGAGGGCCTTACACGAGGGTGACGGCGTTGAGTTTGCACCCGGACACCGACTGACTGATCTCGACTATGCCGATGATATCGCCTTACTTGCTTTAAGTTTTGGTGATCTGCAGCCTATGGTGTCACGGGTGAACGAGGTCGCTAAATCGGTCGGTTTATCCATAAACGCTGGGCAGACCAAAGTGTCTTCAAGCTGCATCCCTGACCAGGAGAAGGCACCCTTCGGGATTGATGGCTGTCACTTTGAAGAAGTAGACAGTTTTAAATACCTCGGTGCGAGGCTGCTGCCTAACGAGCAGAGTAAGGACGACATTGTCTCCCGAATCGATGCTGCCCGCTGGGTTTTTTCAAGCCTTCGGAAATGCCTATGGAACTGACGTGACCTCTCCATCGCCACTAAGATTCGCGTGTACCGTGCATCTGTCCGGTCTGTCCTTCTCTACGGTTGTGAATACTGGGCTTTGCGCGTGGGAGACGAGAGAAAACTGGAGATATTTGATCACCACTGCTTGAGGGCCATCCTTCGAGTGAAGTTCAGCGACTTCGTTTCAAATGAGACAGTCCGCGCTCGCTGCAACAACATCACAAGGATAACTCAGACCATCCAAGAAAGACGGCTGAAGTGGTTCAGGCATGTTCTTCGTCGTCCACCCCGGGAGCTCAGTGTTACTGCCCTCGATCCGGCACCGTTACCCCATTGGAGGCCTCGAAGAGGGGGCCAGTTCAAAGCCTGGCTTGACGCAGTTCGTCAAGACATGGAGGCGGTTCTTGGACCTTCGGTATTCGGTCTACGTCGTTGGCGAAGGGAATGGGCTGAGCTGTGCAGATCTGCTGCCGCGGATCGTCACGCGTGGAGAGGTATAGTTCGGGACATCATCGAGGCCGGCTAGATCAGGGCTGATTGCAGCCGTATCAAGTACAAAGTCCAATTATCTCCGCCTTCGAAAATGCTATTCACCGTTTTTGGCCATGTCAAATCTGACAGCATAGGTACCAGCTACGAGTCCAGACACGTGTTTCACCGGCATTCTGCTGCTGCATGACAGAGCCGTGAGGGGTCCGGCTCCGCAATGGCGGACCCCCCAGCGTTAGCGCATTAATCTCTGATGAGATTAAATAGCTAGAATTTCAAAACAGCGAACGCTAGAGGACTCAGTGATGACCCGAACCTCTCACCACTGCGTCCTGCGGTGGCAGAATATCTGCGATGTGATGTCATTATGGTAAACCATGTAACATGCTATATTCTGGTGCAAGTCTGACACATGAAGATAGCAGAACTAGTTTTTAAGGGTTCTTCTGACAGGGAGAACTGCCTATGCATAAGCTATCTTTGTTGCTTCAAGGGCCAACTTCTACAGCTGAATTGGGGCTTATCGTTGTTTACGACTTCCGGTAACCCCACAAACTCAGTGCTAAACAATGTGTTTTTGTCGGTAATAATATAATGAAGGAGTTAGCAGTTAGGGAATTCCGCAAGTGAGAGCTTCTTTGAGATTGTACTCCTGCTGTGATAGCATTTGAAGGAGTTTATACATCCAGAATTAAGTAGTAGAGGAAACGCCTGCACCCTCTGATCTGAAGACGACTCATCTTCCTGTTCTCACAAGAGCATAAAGAGATAAACCGCCACCGTGCTGCACTAATGTGTCTGCAACATCGTTTCCATACCCTAGCCCCAGTAAAATCTAATAAATACTAATAAATAGATAAATTATGCATTTAAACCCAGATTAGGTGTCTGAGCTACCACTGCATTTTGAAGGAAAGAATCTCTTCCGTTAACCTTCAGCGTAGTTCTATATAACCTTTCGCCGAGGATCTTCCTTCGCTAAGGAATATCTGCTTGTCACCTGGTATTCACAACTTTTTTTTAGGAAAGAAACTCTTGAACCTCAGGTTGTTATTTTTCTTCGACCGGTTCGCTTAGTCTTTTCATACGAACTATACAACCCTCCTCGCGTCTGTCCATTTTGTCTGCGCAGAATCTGGAACAACTTCAGCAGAGTTGGTACAAAGATACTTCCGCCCTCTTCGATGAGGCCGCTGCCCTTGAGGCCGAAAATGATCGTCTTAAACAGAAATTGGAGAGCATGCGTACGCGACCGGATGCAGGGGAAGGCACGGAGGACGAGGACGCGAGAGCGCATGAAACCAAGTCCAAAATCTCTGCTCTAGTCAACGCCATTAGTCGAGGCGCTGTGGACAAGTCGTCGTCCATGACAGCAGCGACCGCACTGAGTGATGCAGGTGTCAAAAAGCATGTAGATGACATTGTCAGCATGACGGAACAGCGCCTGGGACTCTCCAAACAAGAGGGTGAGTCAGTCGCGGAAGTGGCTCTTTGGTTGTCCGTTCTTTCTCTATGCAGACTGCATGGTCATACACCCAGTTTATTTCTTTTGATTCACTTATCCTTTGTGCAACTGAAAAGGAGCTTTCTGGCCTGAGCTTATTCCAATCGGTAGTGGTTGAAACCTCGGCCTCGGAGGAGAGGTTAATTAATGTGTCGGCATTCAGAGCCCTGTGTCACTGACGCTCGATTGGCTTATACCTCTGTAACTGTCGCTTGTTGCGTTGCCGCTTTTATATCTGAAAGTGGATTTCTGTATGAGCTACAAGGTTCAGATAAAGAAATGGTTCCGGCAATCGAGCAGTCTTCTTATCCACTACTTTCCAATCAGTTTATTCGACCTATCGCAGTGGACGAGTCCTTTGATGTACTACAGTAACTGCCAGATGACTTGATGAGAACAATGGAGGAATCAGCGGGTCGGATCTTACTTGAAGCAAGCATGACACACGCTAAAGCTTAGAACAGTTGATGACCACTCTTGTCTTCCATGAGACGTCCAGTTACCCAAACAGACATTGGTGTGCCCTACTAGCTGAACGAATCTCGACATGTTTCCAGCCACATGCTGATGTTGGCGGCCTGCTAAGCACCCTGTCATTACTTTAAACGCCTGTCTACTGACGACGACACCCTCTGCCGCCCTTTTCTTATACAAGTTTTTGAAGACCACCAACTTTGTGTTATGCACTCGCTGTGTTTAATCATGAGCTTTTGCCTGAAACCAACAACGCCACATAAACGAAACAGCAGTCCAGAAGAACCCTTGCCTTATGTCTCGAGCAGTCATCATCTACCTTATGTTTTTACGGCCAAGGTGTTAGCCGTTGTCTTTCCGCAGTCACTTTTCCGTCCTCGCGTTAAATTTAGGATCCAGTCGCACCCGCTTTCCTGACTTCCGACGTATTTCGGAACCCTATAGTCTCTGTTGAGTCAAGAGAAAGTCCTCTGACTGGCATCGTATTACTTTTCCCTTGTGACCTCCGCTGACCTTATTTGTCGCACAGCAGACCGTTCTGTTAGATCTTTTTTTCGCGTCCACCCACATGCGATCCACTGCTGCCTTGTAGACCGTGCTGCTGATCTGCAACTGATACGTCTGCTCAAGGCCGTAATCAGTGAACAGTCCAGTGAGATGCGTCAGTTACGTTTAACCCTACTGCAGCACGAGGCTTCCATTGATGCCGTAAGTCAACACTCCGTCTCCTAAGCACGCCTCTCTCATTCCCATGCTAAGCCTTCTCTGTTAAGCCGGCAGGAATGTTGCGTAAATCGTTCAATTGGATTTAACTCTGTTTAAACGAATGACCCCAGTCACTTTGCGACCGGGTGCGACTCTGAAGATTCCAGAAGTCCAAGTCAGGCTGCCTATGCCAGTCACTGGCAGCCCAAATGCCTAACGAACACGGACAGGACTAGGAAAACTCACGCCTAACATTAGCTGGGAAAATCGGGAGTTATCTTTGTACACAGCGCTGTGCATGCCAACGGGATCCATTCCTTTTCGTGCTCGGACTTTCGTTAATGCGTACTTTGAAGAAGCCCATCAGTGGGCTTTGTCAGCCAAAAGGCCAATCCCAGTGTCCCGTCTTCAGATTTGTCATGATTTTTCCAAGTATAAGCTGAGCTTGCATAAGGCAGACTAACTTACTGCGCAAATACAATTGGGAGTCCGGGATTCCAGTTGTACCTCGACAGTACTTATACCTATTTAGCTGCACAAGCGAGGCAGGCTAACCGCCCCTCGTTTGCCAGTCGTCTGATTCAATAACTGTTGCAACAACCGTCCACAACAGCAGCTCATTTAGCCTCCTCCTCATTATTATTAATTGTGTAGAACCTGTAAAGAATGATCTTTTGCCCTCGGCAGGAGTGAACTGACGTTTCTGCGTTACAGGCTGAAGAAGAGGTATGCAGGCTGGCCCACCAATCCGGCACGCTGCTGGCGGGGCGTGCACCTCACAGACGCCAAGCCGGCCAGTTAGCCGCCGAAAAAGCTGAAGTAGAGGCCAAATTGTGCGTTTGTGAGCAGGAGTTGAAAGAGCTCTCCCACCTTATTGAACTCCAGGACCTTCAAAGTGAAGCAACTGCTACTGAACTGGCCAGACAATCGCTAAAGGTAGTCCACATCCTCACCATTTGTGGGAAATTTGTTTGCTTCTACGAATGTCTACTTAAAAGCGTGTAGGTAGTTCTATTGTATCAGGTAAAACATTGAACTGGCGATAGTGGTTTTTTGTCTTTACGAACTTTCGTAGCCGGCCCCTGCAAACATGCCGCTTCACATCAGTCCCTGTCAGGGAGCGGAGTCCGTGGAAACCGCCAGTGGAACGGCCTACCCTGAAGACAGTCTCCTCAGCCTGGAGGAACTTCGTAGCCTGTTCTACGAACGCAATGAGCTGCGCTGTCGTCTGATTGAACTGGAGGCAACTTTACAACTTGCCGCTAAAGAGGAAAAGTTAGTCAAAACTTTTTGAAAACTTCGCTACATCAAAAGTTGCATGTTAATACAGGCGCCATGGTAGAATGAGTATAGCTTCCTGACCTGGCATAAAATAAAGGTCCTCTCGTCGGAGAGGTAAATTAACAGTAGGATCTAGGCCGCCAGGAAATTCGTAGTGGATGACAGCCGTTGATCTTGTCGCCTCCTGGACAAGTCCCAATGCTATCTTCCGCAGCCGGTCCTGTGTGACGAAGTCAGTTTCAACCGGTAAAGGAAGCGAGGTGATGGGATCCATAAGGACGAATTAACTCGCTCTGTTGTTGTGTTAAGTATGATGAAACCGTCCTCACGGCTACAGCAATAGAATTTTTCAGACATGCCTTGTTTGAGACTGTTTAGGATATGTCGTCTGGTCATAGTGCGCAGCGTTCTTGTATCCTTATCTCTTCTCATCTTTACCTACACTCTTGACGTAATCTTAATTTTCCGCCTGCCTTAGTCTTCAGTTCATTCTTAACTTTTTTCCACCAGTATGTGCTGTGCCCTGGAGTCGGATTCCTTCCCACTCCTCAGTCATTACCGTTTGTTTTCATATCTTCAGTGAGGAGCTCCTTTTCGGCCCGCTCCCGTGTGAGCCGATTGAGAAACTTCGACCCGGCTTCGCAGCCAGTCAAACGGGCATCAAGCCTTTGTAAGTTGCTAAGTATTGTTTCAGTCATTTCGTCGTCTTCTCTGACTAGGTGGTGCCACCACGTTTTCTCTTTCCGAGCTAACTTCTTTCCGCAGCAGTGGGCTAGAGCGGCCCTCTTCAGAAAAAAGTTTTCAGTAGAAGTCAATCAGCGAGTTGTGTTCTGTGGCTTTTAAAGAATATAATGGATTATTTCGATAAGAGGTCGTTTTGGTAAGCAGTTCATTACTGCACCGCTAGTAAACACGATGTAATGCCTGTCGGTGACAGCCTGGCGAACGAGGTGCTACTCGTTTTATTGACACTACTTACTAAATACGAGTAGTTGTTTTGATATCATCGCAGTATTAAACTCAACAACAGTCTAGTGGACAAAACTGCGGCATCATTTTCTGACTTAACTACCAAAGTTGTTAGCTTTTGCACTAACGATAGAAATAGTAAAGTTGGGACCTGTGTTTGCCCTGGAAAGTCCAGGCGAGTCAATTATTTTGGCGGTTTCTTTCCTCTCGCATTTCTTTAGGTCATGCATTTCCTTATGCACTGTGTTTATCGTTGCGTACTTCCTGCTAACCGGGAGTGCATTTTAGGTTTATCGACCTGCTCCGCCGTATTGCTGAAAAGGCGCAGCGCAGCAAGTAGACGTGCTCGGCTCATGCTCAGGGTCCTTCGATCTCTCCTCACGTTACGTTGTACCCACGTTGTAACTTTGTCTGTGATTTATCACCCACATTCCGTGTACTGCATTTAACTTACTCGTGATTTGCATTTTCCAGCTCTTTCTACTGCTTTTATTTCCTTCCGTTATTCTGTGATATCTCATTTTGCCAGCTTCTGTCCACTACAAGCTTATCTCTTGCCTTATAGGCCGATTGATTTATCTTGTTGTTTTGTTGCCATTAATTTGAGAGTCTTCCGCTTTCTCGCCTGCCGCTTATTTCGACGGACAGCGCACCTCTGTCTATAAGGGATAACTAAGTTTCTAGGTGTTATGACCCGCCTGGTACTTGAAATCCCGTGGAGCGTATACGCACTCGACCCTGGTCCCCAATATCAAGGCAGCAGACAAAGAACACACGGCTGGCCACGGAACGTGTATTAGCAAACATGTATTAGCAAGTCAAGTCTAGCTAAGGGTGACGCATATTTATCACACGCTAGCGTGGTTCGCCGGCACTCGGTCCAATGACCTTCGGGAAGAGGGGAGTAGCCAATGGGAAAGCGCCTGATTGAGATGACAGCGCGGTAGAGAGAGAGAGAGCAAACGCACGTGATCTCCATTGATTGGTTTGCTCTTGTTTTTGGGAGTGTAGGCACTCCCAACACCTCCCCTCCAAGTGGGTCAGTACCGCTTTTGGCGTGGATTGATCTGCATCGGCAGTGTTGCTCGGCGCACGCGGTTGGTCCGGCGTCTTAGTTGTGGTTTGTTGTCTGGAGACCCGGGGGCAGTGACTGATACCGAAGGCGGTACATCCGAAGGAGGCGCAGCAGTGGGTTCAGGAACCGACCGATCTGCCGGAATGGCGAAGGTATCCAGTAGGATGTCAAGGGGGAGTGACGGCGCCGGATCGAGCCCAGTTGTGTTACTGCAGTGTCGCCGTCGGATCTGGTTGTGGTGACGAACCCAGATTTCACCATCAACGTCGACGTCAAACAACGTACTGCCTCTGTGCGCTACCACGGTTGCTTTAATCCAGTCTGGGAACTCCGCTCGAAAATCACGGGCGAAGACAGGCGTTCCGATGGAGAGCTTGCTGCGAGAGACTGGAGAAGTCTGCGCGGGCTGCGCACCGGTAGGGACGAGGGCATGAAAAGTTGTACGCAGTTTCCGGCCCATCAACGCTTCGGCAGGAGAAACGCCACCAGGGGACGCCGGGTTCGGTGTTGTCCTGTAGGAAAACAGGAATGCCTGGACTATCTCGTCCGTGGTCCCCTCCCCACGAGCTTTCAAGAGAGCTCTCTTAAACGTGTCGACAAAACGCTCCGCCTGACCGTTAGACTGAGGATGGTAGGGCGGGGAGCGAAGATGCTGGATGTTGTGCTGGCGGCAGAAATCCTCAAACGACGACGAAGTAAACTGAGCGCCATTATCTGAAACCAGGACTTCTGGTAAGCCATGTTGGCTAAAGATGCGTCGTAGGAAGGCGATAGTGGAAGATGCGGTTGCTGGATTCAGCGGAGCAATCTCGGGCCATTTCGAGTAGGCGTCAACCAAGATTAGGTAGGAGACTCCGTTAAGTGGGCCAGCGAAGTCGATGTGCAAGCGTGACCAAGGCCTCTCTGGTGGTTCCCAGGGTACTGGCGGTTGACGAGGCGGCATCTTGGCAGCTTGCTGACATCGAGAACAGCGTCGAACCAGGTCGTCGATGTCGCCGTCGATACCCGGCCAGTAGGCAAAACTGCGAGCAATAGACTTCATTCGGCTGGTACCAGGATGAGCCGCATGGAACTGGCGTAGTACAGTGGGTCGGAGGGAAGATGGGATCACCACACGGTCTGCAAACATGAGGCAGGAGTCAACCACAGATAGCGATGCTCGGCGGAGGAAGAGCTGGCGAAGATCGCCAGCGAGAGCAGTGGTTGGCCAGCAGGTCTGCACGTAGGTGATGGCCTGACGGAGGACAGGATCCTGTTCAGTAGCACGTCGGATGTCCGCGGCAGTGACGGGGATACCTCGTATGGCGTCTGATAGCTGACGGCGCACATCGTCCTCAATCAAGATAGCTGCAATCACGGTATCTTCCTCCGGTTCCTGCTGATTGCTGATGAGGCGAGAAAGGGCGTCAGCCTGACCAAAGTCTGTAGTACGACAGTAGCGAATGTCGAAATCGTAGCCAATAAGGATGGTTGCCCACCGTTGAAGTCGGCTGGCTGAGTAGACGGGAATGCCCTTCTTCGAACCGAAGATTGACAGCAACGGTTTGTGATCCGTCAACAACGTGAAGTGGCGACCGTACAACAGTTTGTGAAATTTCTTGACGGCAAACACGAGGGCTAGAGCCTCTTTCTCTATTTGCCCATAGTTCTTCTCCGCAGGGGTTAGCGTGCGAGATGCATGCATGATCGCCTTCTCAGACCCATCAGGAAAAGTATGTGAGATGACGGCACCAACTCCGTGGTTGGAAGCATCTGTAGCAACAACGATCGGCAGCGTCGGGTCGTAGTGCGTGAGCAGCAGATCTGAGCTCAGCATCGACTTTAGCTGGGCGAAGGCCTTTTCACAGTCGGGGGACCAGCACCAAGGAGCATCCTTCTGCAACAGACGGTTGAGCGGGACCCGTACTTCATGCAGCGATGGTAGGAAGGCGCTATAGTAGCTGATCAGGCCAAGGAACGAACGAAGTTGCGATACATTCTTGGGGGCAGGCATCTGCTGGATGGCCCGAATGTTTTCAGGATCTGGATGGCGACCATTGACGTCAAAAACGAATCCAAGGTACTTGATGGAGTCGAGGAAGAATTGGCACTTGTCGGCCCGTAGGCGAAAGCCATATTCCTGCACGCGTTCGAGCACTGCGCACACTCGGTCTTGCAGCTCGGCAGGGGAGCGACCCACGATGATGATGTCGTCCAGGTACCCAGCTGTGCCAGGGATGCCGGAGAGCATTGCGTTCATCGTTTGTTGAAATAGGGCCGGGGCGGTCTTGACACCAAAAGGCAGCCTGGTGTATTGGAACAGACCGCGGTGGGTATTGATGGTCAACAATTCGCGCGACTCTGGGGCGACCTCGATCTGCAGATACGCATCAGCGAGATCCAACTTGGCAAAACAAGTGCCACCATTTAGCAGGGTGAAAAGATCAGCCGGAACCGGTAATGGATAGCAGTTCGGCGTCAGTGCGGCATTGAGACCGGTGGAGAAGTCAGCACAAATGCGGACCGAGCCATTGGGCTTCTTAACCACAACGATTGGAGCGGTCCAGGCGGAGTAGGATACAGGAACCAGAACTCCCAGTTCCTCTAGACGTTTCAGTTCAGCCTCGACAAGTGGTAGGGCTGCATATGGGACTGGTCGCTTTGGACGGAAGACTGGTTGACTTCCAGGAGACAGATGTAGCACGGCTTGAGTGTATGTGCAACGACCCAGGCCGTCTTGGAACACTGGAGCAAACCGTTGGAGAATGTCCTTGGCTTGGTCTGCAAGCACAGCGGGAATCTGCACCTGACTGCAAACAATGCGGAGCGGCATATCGGCCAACCCAAGTTGTTCAATCCAGTCGAGACCAAGTAGGTTTAGATCAGACTTGGTGATATAGCAGATCGCAGTGATGCTGGTACCGCGGAACGACATACAGCATTGCAGCTGCCCAATTAGCTGTACGAGACCACCGCACGCGCTTGTGGCGGACTGAGAAGTCTGCTGCATCGTAGGGCTGCCAAGGGACTGCCAGAGTCTCTCAGAGATGATGGTGATATCTGAGGCAGTGTCCAGCTGTAGACGAACTGCATGGCCATTGAGCAAGACATCAACAAATTTTCTACGACCAGACGCATTGAGCTGGAAAGCGGCCAAAAGACTGAGAGAATTACCCACGGACTGGGGTTTGGGCTTGCGTTTTGACCGGAAACGGTGCCTGGAATTAGGAGTGGCGGGGGCTGGCTTGCCTCCAGAAGCTGGTAATGATTTGCAGAACCCATCACGGTGTCCCACCTGATTACAGCTTTGGCAGCGATGCTGGCGGAAAGTGCAATCCTGGTGGAAATGCCACGTGCCACAGTGCCGACAAGGAGATGGCGGAGATCTCGACTTGGACACTTGCTTGGGCCATGTAACAGGATGCGATTTGGTCGATGTGACCGTATGGACTGAGAAAGATGAGGCCGGGTTCTGAATCATTGCAGAGTCGTGCTTGAGATTGATCAGCGTTTGGCACTCTGCTGCCAGCTTTTGGAGTGTGGTAGAGTTGTTCTGCTGCACTTTGGACAGGAGACGTGTCCGGATATCAGCATCCTTGGGGGACTGGAGGCCGCAGATAAATATAAGGCATTTACACTGGTCTTCAGTGAGAGAACCGAGTTGGAAACGCCCACACTCACGATTAACAATGCCCGCGTACGTGATGAAATCATCGGAATCTCGTTTGCACAGTTGCAAGCACTGAAATCGAGTGTTGAAGAGGGATGATTGCTCACCAAAAATCTGCGACAACGTCTGAACCGTGTCCTTGAAAGCGACTTCCCGGGGATTCTTTGGAAGGATGAAGTTTGCATAACGCTCGTGTCCATCCGGACCCAGTTTGCGAAGTAGAAGTCGGACCTTCCATGCATCGTCCTGGGCAGCCAGATAGACAGAGAACAAGTCCTCGTATCGCTTGTACCAGGAATCAAAGGTGATATGGACCTGCGGGTCATACAAGAATTCGGTGATGCTGCCGGCAATGTGATCAACAGATTGTGAACCACCAGCCGCGCTTGATTGGCCCATAGATGAATTGGATAGCTTGACGGTCAGAGCCTCCATCAGCTTCAGCTGCTGCTGCAACATCTGCTTCAAGTCTGCGTACTCGTCAGCCATTGTAGTTGAGAAACTGCGTCGCCAATTTGTTATGACCCGCCTGGTACTTGAAATCCCGTGGAGCGTATACGCACTCGACCCTGGTCCCCAATATCAAGGCAGCAGACAAAGAACACACGGCTGGCCA